ATTCTGAGAAAAGGGAAGTGTGTGGAAGGCCGCCTGCCCTGTTTATCGGAATTCCAACTTAGGGGAGACTTAGGGGAGTGTCGAAGGCGGCGCCCCTAATTATTCCTTGACCTTTCCAAACAGGTCTGTGCATATGAGACCCCCGGGTGTTTACTGGAATCCTATGCTTAAGCCCTGGATGCCCTTGCCTAGAGGACAGGTGTCCTCTCAAGATTACTCACTCTACTGATTGTATCTAAAGGTAAAAATTCCAATAAAGGCCTAACGAGGCAGGCATTTGGGGCTGCCTGGCTTCTTCAGCCGGGCTGTCCCTTAGCCCTCTCCCCCATGGTGAAACTGTGTCAGAGTCATCTGTTCATCCGTCGTTCAGGGGCTGCTGGTCAGCCCCGGCAAGGTGGTGCCCCATGTGAGGAGCCCTGACATGAACGGATAAATAAAATGTGAGATGATTTTATTTATTTACCCATTCATCTGTTGAAAACACTTAGGTTGTTTGCACATCTTGGCTATGCTGCATAATGCTGCCGTGAACATGGGCGTGCAGATACCCCTTCAGGATCCTGTTTTCATTTCCTTTGGAGATACACCCAGAAGTGGGAATCCCAGTGCAGTTTAATCAATTCTAAAACTTCCATGTTATGCTCTTCTTTCTCCCCACCAAGGTCAGTCCTGGCCCAAGAGACGTAGAGGAGAAATGGGGACCTGGATGCCTCTTTCCTGTCTCCCCTCCCTCTTCTGGGGTTCCTTGCTTCTCTCCATGTTGCCCTAAGACTGGCCTCATGGGTAGAGCACTGGTTTGAAAGGCTCAAAAAGGCTCAAACCAGCTGTCTTCTGAGGGGTCCACTCAACATGAGGGAAACTCATCCCTCCTGGTCACAGCTGCCCGGCCTGCCACTGTCTTTACATTGCCCTCATCCCGCTTACATAGGCCCTGAGGACAGACCAGGCTGCCCAGTGGACAGCTAACTTGGAAATAGATGCCACTATCACCTTCATGAGGTTACCAGTCTCGGGTGTAAACCCTCATTGGGGTGATTGTGAGAGGTAAGGAAGATTCCCCCTCCTGTACTCCCCCATTCCCCAGGCCCCGCATCCCCTCAGAACTATAACTCATGAGTTTCTGTTTTTAGCTGGTGGAGGTGCAGGAGGGAGGTCTGACCACAGAGCAGTTCTGCTACCTTCTAAGTCTTACAGGAATTTGTTTTTTAAATCCTTCCATTCTTTTTAGAACATGTGGAGGGGAGTAGGAGGATGGGGGCGTAGTATTTGTTGTTTTATGGTATTAGACTTTAGCCACAATTGGAGACAATAGGGAAAGACTTTAGAGAACCGACTATATTTGCTTTGCAGATTCTCACTCTTCATCACAGGCACACTTCAAAACGAGTTTAGACTTTCAGACTCCATTTTCTCAAGCCTCAAAACTTCTTCCCCAAACTCAACTGGTGACCCTGCTTCCTATTTCTCTGAGGGAAAAAGGAACAGTCAGCAGAGAGCAGTTGCACACTCCCGTCACCACCTCTGCCCGTCCACCTGCATCTGGGTCCATAGTCTTTGGCTTTTCTCCTGACTGTGAATGTTGGTGTGTGAGTATGTAGGGGGGTTGAGAGTGGGGGTGGGGGGAGATGGGAGGAGAGTGGGATGGAGAAAGAGAGAGAAGGTAAGAGGATAAGAATGAACAGGGGAAAGAGATAAGAAACTTAATTATAGGCACAATGTTACAGAAATCAATAAACATGATCTGACACAGTATACATTTGTCATGCTTACCAAGTTAACATATATAAACCGCTATGTGATGGTGCTTCATTTGCTTGCTTTGTTACCTAAGATTGCTAGATGTTGTTTAGCAGTCTTGGCAATATGTATCTTTTTAAGATCTGCAAAATTAACATTGGCCTCATCCATCCACCCTTCTTCAAGCTTCTTCAACCACCATATTCTCCATTTATTTTTCTTTATCTCTCCAGGGCAAGTAAATGTGCCCCCCCCCCGCTCTCCCCCCAGCCACAGAGCTCCTGGGAGTGTGGGGAGAGGAATGGAAACTCTGATTTCACAGTCATCCAGCCCACTGGGTTAGCTCCTTGAGGTGTGGCTGCTGGAGTCTGGTTACGGATCCAGAGGTCATCCAGAGGTCATCCAGACACGGCATGGGGAGTAGCCTTGTCATCCTTTTTTCATCTTCGGGGTTGGTAGTTGGGAAAGTGACATGTAGGGAGTAGATGAGACTCTTTCCATTTGGAGAAGGAAAAAGAAGAGGGGGAGAAAGAGTTGCCGTATGTCTGGCACTTCACCACAGCCCATTAACAGAAGAAGAAATTAGGCTTAGAGAAGTCTCCATTTGTCCAAAGTCACACGGCTGGATGAGATGGAGCAGGACTGTTGTGTCCAAAAGCTTTTTCCTTTGCACACCCTCCACTACACTCTCATTATTAGCTATAATTAGATTTTTTTTTTCTAAAATTCAAAGCCAAAATGAAACCCAAGAGTGAGATGGTGACAGCAGCAGCCTGTGCCCTCTTGTCACCTTCCCACAACTAGGAGGTAAAGTCAAGAGGAAAGCTAGTTATGGGCTTGAGACCCAAATTTTGGACAAGGGTAGGGACGGGGCAGAGCTGAGACCAGGCAAAAACGAAATGGAGCCTCTTCACTCTCCTCTCTTCTCTCCTCAAAGAGCCTCCTTTCCTCTGCCACCAAGGAGACCCCGCCCAGTGCCTGGGTCGTGATGTGGATTTCTCTCAGTGCTCGGTTACACTTGCCTCACTTAAGATTCCACATTTATGGGCATCGGTATCATCATGTATATGAGCTGAGTTGGTTACACTTGCCTCACTTAAGATTCCTACTCCACGTTTATGGGCATCGGTATCATCATGTATATGAGCTGAGTGTCCTCAGGCCAGTGCCCCCCTCAGGCCCTCTGGGCTTGGAGCCCATGCACTTTCAACTATAACAGCCAAAGAGTGTGAATCTTAAATGGGGTTGTCTGGAGAATGGGGGACAGAATCAAAGGAAGACCCTTAGGTTTTTCTGGATCTATAGAGCTGCAAATAGAGGTTTATACTTTAAATAGAGGGCCATGCTTCAAAATAGTGTTTTCTGTCATTTTGGATGATATATGGACAACCATCCACCATTGTCAATGCCAGTGGGTGGAAGTTATATAAATAAAAACTTAAAATACATATTAGCACAGGTGGTAAGCGGGTATGGCAGGAGTGGGGAAGGTAGAACCTGAATGAATGAAATTGGAAAACATAACCTTGAACACACAAATGAATCTCCAGCAGGATGATCTCCACTGGAGACCACTCGAGGGCAGGCAATATTTGGGAGTGAGATGGGATTTCTGGTGTCATTCCACACCAGCCCTGAATTCAGGAGATCGATGTACCATGCCTTCCCCGAGCAAGTATTTCTTGAGCAACAACTATGTGGCTGACCTTGTGCAAGGCACTGGGGATCCCGCAAGAAGAAAATCATACCAGAATTTTGCCCTGACATTCTCCTTGGGGAAGACAGACCATACACCCCGACTGGTGTTCTCTCAATGTCTCCTGGTAGAAAGGTCTCTATCCTCAATTTCTAAAATATGTCACCCTACTTCCTGTGTTACCGAACTAAATGGGATCGTTTGCCTGCATGCATCAAAGTCCACTCAAATGCGAACAGGAGTTGGCAGCAAAGAAAGTAAAGGTTTCTTTAAGGAAATGGCACCAAACCCTCCCTCATTTGACTTGTTGTGAGGTAATCTCTTTCTGGTAATTTTCGTTCCTTCCCCCTCTCCTTCACAGGTGTCAGGCCTGCATCACAGTCTAAAGGCTCCCCCTGCCTTCTTCACTTCCCTTATTCTCCACAGTGTTATTCCCAGTAATTCTCGTGCCCATCTAGTCCCATCTCGGCATCTGCTGCTCTGAGGACCCGAACGTATGCACCTGACTTGGTCTCTGACATCAGGGCAGCCTTCAGCTGAGCCCCATCTGTTGCCATGCCCCTTCCTGGGAGCAGCACCCTTGATCAGTGGGATCATAAGCAACAGGAGAAGCAAGGGCTGGACTCTCCCAAGTCATTGTATCCTCATCTTCTGCAGGCCTGGCCCGTCCACGTTGGCATAATACTGATGCCTCTTCAGGGAATGTTCTGTCTGGTGCAGGGGTTCGGAGCACAGGTCGCTCACTTTCCCACAAAGTTCGATACTGGCCCTGCTGGTGGGTTCTCTGCCTCATAGCAACGTATTATAATTTAAGGATCTGGGCAAGCGCCCTGCCCTTCCTCTTCCCCCAAAATACCTAGAACCAGCTCTCTGTGGTTTCTGCCTCTCCTTTGGGAGGAAGAGGCCACAGGGTACACTGGAAATGCCCTGGTTCCAGGCTAGCTCTGCCACTCTAGCAACAGGGTCGCTAGAAGGTCATTTTCTTTCTCTACTATTCAGTTGCTTTATTTGCGAATCAAGAAGTTGAAAAAAAAAAAAAGTTGAACATCTCTTCCTAGAGACTGAATTTCACTTCTAGCCCCAAGACTCCCCGAAAGGCTAGTGCTCTCCAGAGGCAAACGTTGTCTTCTTCCATTCTGCCGGTTAAACGCACACTAAACATGCATTGTTAGCTCAGCTCTGCGGCAGACACCGGGGATTCAAACATCTAAAAGAGGTCTTTGCCCTCACATTGCTCAGAGTCTCCCTAGGGAGACAAACATGTCCACAGATAATTCCAGAACAATGATGGTTTTGTAATCACCAAGAGATGAAAGACTTCTGCTTTGGCTTTTACTAACATTTTATAATGGGAAGTGGGAGAGGTGCAGGAAATAGTTTTCTGATGACGGTTGGCTCAGAGAGGAAGGACAATGTGTTTCAATGTCCCCCACTTTGAAAAAAGAAAAGTGTATTTATTTTCATTGAGAAGAAGAAACCAAAAAAACGGTGGAGGTTGAACCATTAGGGAGAGTTTATTTTTTTCTTTTACAGGTCATGAGGCTAGTTAACGATTACTGAGACCCACGTGGGTGTTTGGTGTTCAAAACTGTGAGTGGCTGGGTTATGTGATGTCTTTGGCATTAGGGTCGGCTTTACCCCAGCCATGCGCCCAGGCCTCCGGGACAGATGCTTCTTCTGGTCGTGGGGGCTCTTTTTGTGGTTCAGCGTTGGAAGTGCAGGTAAATCGGGGACTCCGGCCTTGGGTGGGATGACTCAACCATTACGCATGCATTGCTAATCCTTGGAAGGCCCCCTAAAAGCCCTTTCTCCTGAGATGAATTCACAGGAGGGAGAAAAAGCCTACAATCATAATGGGAAGGTAATCTTTCTCAAGTCAAAAGATTGAACTTCCCTAGTTGTTCTACTCATTTTTCTAAAAACCTCACTGCTCATTTTCACCTTGCATAAGTCAAGGTGACTATAAGAAGATAAAATTTAATTAATTCCAACATGTAATTCTTTTCACCCGCTAAATATTCACTGTTCTAAGATACACATTTTCCAAACTAATGACTCTGTCACTGAGCCTGTTAGACATCCTTTTTAATATTGCTGCCCCAACTCAAATCCAGGCTTATCACCCCTCTGAGCAATAACTAGCCCCTGCCAACGGTGGTGCCCGCTAAGACAACTTCCCGCAGATGCTATTTGCATTCTACCTTTCCCGTTAAAAACCCCACCCACCTAGCGCTTAAGATAGCAAATCGAAACCCTACTGTTGAGATCCTCTGATGGTGAAGATCCTTGCTGCCCCCAGCAGTGGCCTCACCCTTAGAAAGCTCCCCTCCCCTGGGCCCAACAGCAGACTGCTTTTATTCTTCTTATTTTTTTGTTGTTAATCCGCATCCGAGGATATTTTCCCCAGTGATTTTTACAGAGAGTGGAAGGGAGGGGAGAGACAGAGAGAGAAAGAGAAACATCAATGTGAGAGAGGCATATTGACTGGTTGCCTCGCAAAAGCACCCGGACCAGGGCTGGGGATCAAACCTGCAACCGAGGTATGTGCCCTTGACTGGAATCAAACCCAAGACCCTTCAGTCCTGGGGCAACGCTCTAACTACTGTGTGCCCGGCTAGGGCTCCACAGACATTTAATCCTCATTCCCCAGTTTTAGAGAGTGGCATTCCCTCTGCCTGGAGTTTTGCATACTACCTTTTCGTTCATTTCAGCTCTTCACAACTTCCAAGAGGGCTTTCAGGATTCCTATCTCCCTTGCAATACTTCATTCCTCTACTCAGCTTTCCTTCCTTTCCTCCTCCAAAGTTCAGCTTGCTTGAGTATATTTACTATCTGCATTAATGGGCTGCTTTTAAAGGGTGCTTCACGTGTCATTTGTGTGTGTGTGTGTGTGTGTGTGTGTGTGTGTGTGTGTGTGTGTGTGTAAAATGACC